CCTCCCCCGGGGCCGCCGGGCGGGGACAGCCGCCCCACCCGCCTCGCCGCCGGCCCCAGCGCCCCCGGCCTGGCTCTGCGCCCTCCCGGCCTCAAATAACCACCGGCTTGATCCCGAAAAGCCTTGAGGAGAGAGCAAAGACACTGCATCGAGGCAGAAAGGCCAGAGACGAGTCAGCCTTGGGCTTAGAACTTCGGCGGGGTGGTCCATTGAAACCCACGCTCCAAATCACACCCCCTTTCCCATGAGAACAGCACAATAGCAAGGTCTATCTGTCTAGCACCAGGAAAATTATCTAATACTTATAAGTAAAGCCTGATTTCAAAATATTATGTGTATTATTTCCAAATTACACCAAGTTCCATGAACTCTGATTCTCTGCAGGGCTCAAGTGTATCAGGGTGCTTTAGGACTTGGTTTTAACAGTGGAAAAAACCCATTTTTCTAAGTTAACAACTTGGTGGCTCATCAAAACGACTAATTGACAATAAACCATTACACTATGGTATAGACCTACCCTTCTTTCACACAAAGCATGGGGCAAATTAAATATTACCACAGAAATTATGACAGGGGCTATGAAATCATCTTTATAGCCGCCGAGAGGAAAGCACTCTCAAAGGAAAGCTCCAACTGATCATCATTTCGAAGCTTTTTGTCTTAAAAGGAAACTATGTACAAGTGTGTGGTGCTGTGACAGTCGAGTGACGGCCGTCACCTTTCTCAAGGCACATTTCTAACTGTTCTCAAAATAAAAAGGTGCCGTCATTTAATAATAATCAAATCACATTTTACCCACTCAAACCGTTTACATCCCTAAAAGCACTGACTGAGGCAACCTGGTACAAGAGGACACTGAGAACACCTGACAAACGTACTCACTTCATGTTGCCCCCCATTTACAATGCTGATCCATAACTACATAAAATAAAACCAACATTTCTGAAGTATACACTTCAGTAAAACTACCCTGTGTGGTAATGGTGGTCTGTCCTCCTAATGGAGTGGAGGGAAGGGGGTAAAAACACCCAATATTTACCCCAATTATCAGGTATCTGAAGGACAACACTTGCTCACAGCACAACAGTTTCCATACAATGCACAGAACAGTCACATTTAAATTATTAAACCCCAGGAAAAGATGAAAGATACTGTTGTTGCACTTCCCTTCACCACCTGTAAAGTCAGTTCACAGATGACAGTGGTTCAATTGTTTTTAAAAAATCCAAGAAAACAAACCATATCCCCCAAACCTAAAACATTTTTTTGTTTGTCCCCTTCTGTGGTTCAATTATTTAAAAAAAAATCCAAGAAAACAAACCACACACCAAAAACCTTAAACCATTTTTTGTTTGTCCCATTGTGACCACCTTGGGAGTGAGACAGCATGATTTGAAACAGGGTGTTCTTTGCCAATCAACTGTTTCTAGCAGAGGAGGCAACTAAGCTACTGCAGTTCATGCTAACCATTTTCTGAAGTACCCACCCACATTTTTTCATACAGAAAATTCCTTTCAATATTTATATAGCATTAAAAAAAACCTGACTGAATGTGGATAAATATTCTAAATTGAAGACGTAGCAATATAAAGTCTCCAGTTTCGGCTCCTAGTTGTTCGTTTTCTCTAGAAGACTCGGAGCATGGATTGGTTTTCAGAGTAAAATATTCCAAAAGTGACCTGGAGAAAATCTTAATCAACTGTTTGGACACGGATTTTATTTCTAACATTAGGAAATAAAACTTCCATTTATGGCATGCTTCAGAAGTTCTTATTTACCTAACGATAACATAAAACATAAGAAGACAGACACTGGAAAGAACAGATTAATTAGGTGAAACTCTTACTTTCTGCAGACTAACTCAGACTTTGTATTTTCTTAATTACATCTGGCTAAGATGTAACCTGCCAGGCTGCTCCTGTAGGTGCTCAGCCTTACGCACAAGCAGAGTGATCCAGCCATCCCTCCCACTTCATTATCAACATTTTAACAATCACACTGCTTAAAAAAAAACCCCAAACAAACAAAAAAACCCCCCCATAAAATCTGCATACAGTAACTTAAATGGCTGCAGACCAGATTATTGCTGCTGAAAAAAGTACATCTATTTATCCTGTTTCTTTTGCAGCAAGTCTTGTGTTTCTATATAACCTGAGTGACTCTACACATGTAACATGTATTGATACATACACCCACACACAGTAATATCCAAGCATCTAGTTCTGCACCTGTAAAAGCTGTGATGCATAAATAGGTGCTCTTTTAATTACTGCACCTTTAGAGTTATCTTGCAAGTCAGAAAATAGCACAATTCAAGGGATAAAGTAATTACATTGCATATTCTCTTTTTGCTTTGTAAACCCTCTTGATTTTTATTGATGGTGACAAAGACATTTATTTTTCAGGAAGTTGTAACAATATTTCAGAGTTGAGAAAGTGCAATTTCTAGGGCCGTGAAAATAACTCAAGTACTAGAAAACAAGTTATTGAGACACAAAGACCAAGAGGGTCAAGAACTGAGATGCTCAAGTAGACCACAGTTCAGACCTGAAATGGGAAGACTGTTCTGCCTCTTTGTGAAAATACATGATTTTTTACACTAGATAAAACCATTTTTGGAAGTTTAACTTAACATTTAAATAACATTCCAAAGTGAAAAAATTATCCCATCCACTCAAAATTTAAATTCTTTAAAAGTAGATCTAACATGAGTTCAACATGGCTGACATGTATGTGGAAAATTCTCCTTCAACAACAAAGATACTGAAATTTCAGCTTTATGCAGATAAACAACCTGTGATTAAAGAGACACACAGACACCTTCCCCAAAAACACTGGCCTTCAAATTTTATTCTCTAGCCTTTTTCAAGCTGTCATTATAACTTTACATTTTGTACAGTATTTTGTGTACAAAGGTTCCATGTATCAAGGGAAATGATCACCTGTAATGAGATTCCATGTATTACAATATTAGGACTGTTGCATTTATAACCATGATGTTTTAAAAAAATCTCTCAAGACAAACCATGTAGAAATAAGTATGCAAAAACTGCAAACAAAAACATTTAAGTAGCCAAAATTAAAAAGACCTTTTGTGTGAATCACACAGTCTTGCTCGGTTTCTACTAGGCTATTGCAGCCAAGTAGTCCTTAACCTCGGTTGGAGTGAGCCTCCTAAAACCAGCCTCGTTACAGATGCCAACTTCAATGTTGTCTTCTGTCATCTGCCCTTCAAAGCTCTCCTGTCGAAGAAAATACAGTTCAGGGAATCAGATCAGTGATGTTGGAACAGTAAGAAACTTACTGCTTAAATATTTTGCTGACCTTTAGTGTTAAGATCGCCGTATGAATGGCATCTTCAAGCTCCAAATCTTCATTGTATCTGGAAACAGAAGGGCATGTATTTCACCATGGGACAAAGATCTTCCCAAATCCTAACAAACCCCATCTCTAAAAACCCAAACACTACTAAAATCTTCCTATTTCTCATACAAATATTATTTGTAAGTACTGTGGTATTAATATTCAAAGCTATTATTTGTTAAAAAAAAAAACCAAACTATTTTTCCTACTGACTAACACTTAGAACAGTATTTCTGCAAATATGTTGAATATAATGTTTATCGCACTGAAATAATTCTCCATAAACACAAAAGTTGATGTTTAAATACATTCTCCATAAACACAAAAGTTGGAGTTTAAATAAATCCTCCATAAACACAAAAGTTGGAGTTTAAATAAATCCTCCATAAACACAAAAGCTGGAGTTTAAATAAAGCAAATTTCTTGTGCATGTGTAAATAAGTAAACTGGAAGCATCATATCTCAAGTATCTTAAAACTCTTTTCTAATAATCTACAAGTGTGTATTTTTTATCTGTCTGTTTTATGTGGAACCCAAACAAAAGGGATGGTACCACAGAATCACAGATGCTATCCTTTCAGACCAGTATCAAATAAATTACCTTTTCTCAAGGAACGTTTTCCCATTGACGTAATTTTTCCCCATTGCTGTTGCTTTCCATGCAAAGTAAGCTCCCTGCAAAAGCAACCATCTCTTGAATTGTTTTGTGTAACTTAGTCAAACATCACATATTCAATTCCTTGGTAAAAAGTACAGAAGCAATTATGAAAATAATGAATGTTCTGAGGCTAGAGGAGACTATTTTGGACCACATTCAGACTAATTTGATATGGAAACATATGCTGTGAAAAGGCACAAAACATTCGTATAGGGCTCCACCTCTTTTCATTCTCCCACTGCTTTGGAAGATTAATTCAGAAAGTCGTTAGTGTAGTTTCTATTTGGGATTCCTTAAGTAGAAATTGTATGTTTGCCCTTAAGAATGAGCACAGATCTTTCTTCTTTTTTTTTTTTAGATTAAGTAATGTAAACAACTTCTTGCAAATCAGCCACTGGATTTATCTTAGCTACTCACAGGGTATTCAGACATCACTTCTATTCTCTCCTCTGACACAAAGACCTCAGCAGTTCTACGCCTCAATCACATTGCCTGACACAAGGCATCTGCATTTTGCTTTTTACATTTGAGCACCAGGTAAGTAACTCAGATTTCTGAAGCTTATCAATGACCACCACAGTGAACGTGTGTTTGGTTTGAGGTAAAGCCTCACAACTCACGCACGCATCAAAGAAGTGTTTTCCAGAAGTGCGGGGCACACACAGCAAATAAACCTCACTTAAATTAACCACCATCATTAAATACTAAAGCACAAGTGTGACATTTCACAATGCAACACATTTAGCCTAACTTTCACCCAGTTTAGGGAACAACTACTTGAGCAGCATATTTTTTTTTCCCTAGTACCTGCTGCAGAATGCCACACTTGCTGGCACAACCAACTAGGTGGCCAGGCATTAGAAGGGATGGTGATCTCCCTCAAAAATAGTAGGAACATGCAGGCACAGAATGATCCAGGCTTTCTCCAAACACCTGCTGAGATGGCTCATCCTCACTTCTCAAGTTATGTTAAGGGGTCTTTTGTTCTAGCTCTGAATTCTTCTTCTCTTCACAGAAAGTATTTCATGAGCACATACAAAGTTTTAGATGTCTTATGGAATTTACAAACCTAAGATACTTACAGATGGATCGGACTGAAATAAATAGGGCCGCCCTTCATTCCAGCCACATATTAGCAGTGATACACCAAAGGGACGGACACCGCTAGAGGCAAAAGAAAAAACAAACTTAAAAAAAATAAAAAATAAAAAAATCACACTTGATATGTGAAATTTATTCAATTAAAACCAAATATTTTGGATGTGTTGACCTTTATCCAAACGCTTTCCCCAGCCCAGAGCTGTGATTAGGAATGATCAGTCAACCAGCAGCACAAAACCAAAAGAACGCTGCCCTGTCTGACGTGTCGTGTCAGACATGCTGGTGAGTTAGTGCTCCTCCTGCTGGCCCCACCTTCTGTGGACATTCTTCACTGAAAAAATAACTGCCTTTTCGACCCCAAAAAAGTGAATCACCGGGTAGTTGTTATTCCTCACATTTAAACAACGTGATCTTTCTAAGCAGCTACAAAATTGAGCAAACCACATACCCAGACTGCGTGTATTCCTGCATCACTGAAGCAATTCTCTGTACTAGCTGAGCTGTTGGAATGGGCTCATGATAAACCAAGTAATATTGCTGGGCCAGCTTCCGAGCTCTGTGCACGAGCACTCTGAAAACAGAGACAAAATTAGTGTGTCAAAGAAATCCGAACGAGTTGTTACAAATACAAAGGAAAACTCATAATAAATACTAGGCTAAGGAGTTATACACCAACCTAAGACAAGAAAGGCTGTGCTGGGTTATCTTTATCAACTGAGTAACCTCTGAAATACTTAAACTGAAACTCAGGTTAAATTACACTGCTCTTCTTTCCCTTACTCATTCTTTAGATAGAAGGATACTTCACAAGGTGTTGAATATATTAAGAAAAAATTTAAAGTTAATTTCATCTACAGTGTAATACAGTGTATTATGCCATATACTTAAACAGAAATAGCTAGTTGCTGTCTGTTTCTGTTTCTTAAATTTCTTGTATGAAAATGCATCTAAATGGGTATGAAACAAAAATATTTTAATACCTGTAATCTGGACCCATACCACTGTACACTAAACCTATATGTTTGGTAATTGGTTCTACTTTGTGGACGCTCCTTTCATCATAAAGGATGGATTTCTGCTTCTTCTCAGTTGCCAACACCACTCCATTTGCAGCTGGAAAGGAATAAGATTTATTTATTTTAATATTAAATAAATTATGGAAAGCAGTCGAAACACAGAACAAGTTTATCCGACTAGAAAGAATTTTGCTCCTCCCTTTTGAAAACCCTTCAAGTTTACAGTCACATTAAACAGAGATACTTTGCTGAATCCACCCAACGCATCATTTCTCATTTTAAATAATCACACAGCTCCTATAATCCCACTCTAAAGAACCTCAAGCACATAGTAATAACTGAGCAGTTGAAGTAACTTTTTGTGTAATTTCTATATATATGGGCACACAGCTGGAGTCACTTAATTAAGAGCCAGAAACACTTAAAAAAAAAAAAGATATCTACTTTACCAGCTGAGTGTCTCCAAAATCACCCAAGCAATTTTCTTCTAGTACAGAGCTCTATGCTCCCCTCTTTCTTTATAAAAAATAATCATGTTTGAGGGAGAAAAAAAAATTAAACCCACTCAGACATGTGCAAAATGACTTGAAAGAAAAACAAAATATGTAATAGAAAACAAGATGAAGAAAGATTAATTACATAATCTAAACTATTTCAGCTCTCTTAAATGGCACCCAGAATCCCAAATCCTTCACTGGAGCAGTTATTTAACGTACCTTTAATCCCGACTGATGGAGCTCCTGCAGCCACTGCAGCCAAAGCATATTCGATCTGAACAAGCTTTCCTGAAGGACTACAAAGGAAAGTGCAAAAGTAAGGCTAACATCATTCTGAGAGGCTCAAATCTGTCCTATAACCATCTGATGCTAACTTGCTTTTTTTACATCTAGCATCAGCACAGTCTAATCAGAATTTTTATAAAAAACAAACAAACAAAAAACCCCCAAAACACTAAACCAAAAACCCACAAGTCTGCAGATTCATAACAGTTTCTAAAAGAACTGGACTGGTTCAGCACAGAAAACAGCAGCTAAGGTTAAAGTAAAAAGCCCAGAGGTTGAAGACAAGATATTAACTATGGCAACCTGGGTATGTGACAGAGCTTCTTGGTAAGAGGAATTTGCCAAGAACCACACAAAGCAAAAGAACAAGCTGATTTTTGCTACTTGAGTTGCAGTGAGTTTTCCTACAGTTTTTAATTCCTGCTCCTGAACTGTTGGATATGACATCAGCTGCTACGCAGTGCTACTGGGAGACTGGCACAGCACCTGCCTACAACCCTGATGAAGGCTCATGTGTCTCGGACAGGGAGCGTGACTGGGATGCAGGCTGAAGGAGAACAAATCCATTCTCCAACTTTATACCATTTTAAACAAGTTTTCCACTCAGTGGGGAAAATCTTCCTACTGAAATGGCATCACACATGCAGCTTGCAAAAGTTTTCAAGACACTGATGTTCGCTGCTGAAAGGTAGGAGCAAAACACAGCTCCTCTTTTTGACAGCACGCTAAGCCCACGTCAGGTCAATGGCACAAGACAGAAACAGCTCCCATTCCATCCCCAGGTATTCCTGCAGTTTGTCCTTCTGGTAACGGATGCAGAATCATCAGAACAGAGCAGCAGGGCGGGCTGACAAGGTAACTCATCCAGAATGAGGGGGATCGAGGGGTCCACGCTCCATCCCCAAGGAAAAGGAGAGCACAGAGCCAGTCACTCACTGGATAAATGATTTTCCCAGTGGGATCTATTCTCTGGGCTGTATTTCAGACACTGCTGTTTTAACAGATGCAGAAGTATCTGTTAGATACTATAGAAAATTATAATAAGATAGAAATAAAATAGAAAATTATATAAGTCAGTGCTTAGAGGAGCTGGAAAAAACAAAGCAAAATTAATCAATAGCATAGTTATTTATACACTGAGTAAACAGAATATACAGGTGACAGAGTAATAATTCCAGCTCCTCCATTACAAAATACTAACAAACTAAAACATGAGTTTCCCATGCCAGCAATTAAAATACACAGAGCATGAGCAAAATATTTTAAAGGTAAGCAGGAACTACAAGAAATAATTCTCAGTACAAGGAAGAGGTGGATGAAGGACAGCGTTAAGCAGGTGTATTTTCTTCCATGTGAATGTAAGAATCAAATGGCTTCAAGTTTCAGAGTTTCTGTACAGCACAAGAAGTTTGTAACGCCCTTGGGAAACCATTTCCAAGAGCTAAGAAAGAATTCAACCTGCTTGAGTAAAGCAGGCATGTCTGCTGCCTCCATCCACTAAGAAGACTTTTTCCCCCTAGTTTTAGATTTAACCGCTTCATTTGCTTAACTGCAACAAGCCTTTAGTAACCTACTTTGCAATTACACAGCATTTACTCCTCTCTGAGATTAAGGGGGCACCTCACCGAAAGCAGCACAAAGATTTCTGCATGCCATTTTTCTTTTTATGTGTAGAATATAAGTCTACATAGTGTGATAGTTCCCAAAAAGAGTGGCAAGTAATTGACTTTTTGCTGAATTAACCTTAAGTGCAGGTACTAGAGTAACACTTTAATAGATACAACTCCAAGAGCTTATTCATTCTGTGTGTGCAACCATCCCACACCTACCCTGTGCACACAAAGTACAAGCAGAGTGCAGCCTGCAAAGCACAGCAGGAAGGAAAATAAACTCTTTCAATCTCAAGGCACCACAGCTCAGCTATCATCACATTTACAGGATTATTACCCAGCCTGAAGCATGCGTGTGGGGAATGTTTTGCCAATAGTCAGGGCTGACAAAAAGGGCACAGACACCAACTTGAGAATAAAAACAAACTTATTCTAGTTTACAGCAGGGGAAAAAATAAAGGAATAAGCGAGGTACAGATGTAAACAGGGTAATGCACTTGATCATCACTGTGTAAGAGAACGCACAGTGATTGAGAAAGATTCATCATCAATTGCCCAAACACTGATCATCACCCCGATCCCGTGCAGCAGCTGGGAGCCCTGTCACAGGGAAGGATCTGGAGCCTTTCCCCAGCAACTGGGACATCCTACGCGGTGTGTCCACTCGTAGGTGAGGTCTCCATCTTCGCTGTGAGAGGGTCCTGCTTTTATACCATCTAACAAACAAATGAGACAGAAAGGCATGGGAACATCTGGTGGGTGAGTTTCACTTCACATGGGTGCCCCCCAGATTTGGCCAGGATCCAAGATAGGTCTCAGAAGCCGCTATTTTGATATACAGCACCTGGCTTTGGATTGTAGGAGGAAAAATCTCACGGGTGCCTTTCACACTGTTGTAATACAGGTTGCAAAGTTCACTCAAAAGCCGACTTTCATTTAAGGTTTATGCTTTTAGCCTTTGTATATCAGGGACCCTCATTTTGGTAAATCATTTCACAGAGCACTCGCTATAAGGCACTACCAGTGACAACAAGATTCCAGCAGCATTTGGCCAA